AAACAGAAGAAACATTACCAAACTCATTCTATGAAGCTACAGTTACCTTGATACCTAAACCACACAAAGACCCAACAAAAAAAAGAGAATTTCAGACCTATCTCTCTTATGAACATTGACTCAAAAATACTCAATAAAATACTTTCAAACCAAATCCAGGAACACATAAAAGATATCATCCACCATGACCAACTAGGCTTCATCCCAGGCATGCAGGGGTGGTTCAATATACAGAAATCCATTAATGTCATCCACCATATAAACAAACTGAAGGAGAAAAACCACATGATCATCTCCTTAGATGCCAAAAAAGCATTTGACAAAGTCCAACACCCATTCATATTTAAAGTCTTGGAGAGATCTTGGATAGAAGATAACTTCTTAGTCACTATACAGTTATAACAGATCATGCTCCTTCACTATACTATAGTGGTGTCATTGCCTCTCCAAATATATTAGTAGACAATCAAAGAGAAATCTGGGCTAGGCATGTGTCTTCATGGACAAAGTACTTGCCAAACAAGCATGAGGACCAGAGATAGGATCCACAGAACTCACGTAAAAGCCATGCTTGTTTGGCTGAGAACCCAGGCAAAGTCCAGAAAGCTGTTGTAGCCTAGCTGCAACCCAGAGGATAGGAGCACAAAGGGTAGGCAGAACAGCTGAATGGCGAGCTAAAGCAAGGGACTCTGCTTCAATCTCTAAGATGGCGATCCCTCAAGGAAGGAAGACGCTTGATGTCATCCTTGCACTTCTATACACGTGAGCACACATGTATGCACACCTTCATGTACATGTGACCATGCATATGCCCATGCCCATGGACTACCCCCATACATATGCAAAAAAGAAAAATAATAATGTGAAGATGATAGACCCCTTTAACTTTCCAAATGCAATAAGTTCATAAGTTAAACATGTTGCCTAAAGGACTTAGAATACGTAAATAGGTTGCTCTCGATTTTACAACTTCCAAATTTGTACTCAAACTTTTGCTTCTGCCTACTAGGGGGAAGTTCAAAGTTCTACACAATCTGCGCATCAGTTAAAGAGGCTACATGTCACCTAGATTCTGGAAGTGTCATCTCAGTATCCTACTGACGACTATTGCTCTCAGTACTCAAGAACAAGAACATGTAGTCTCTGCTCCTGGCAGATCATGAGCTGAGATACTCCTTTTCATCTCACTTCCACACCCCGTGCCATCATCGCACAAATTAAGGTCAAAGGAAAAAGGAGGTTTCTTTACTCAATTTCCATTATCCAATTTATTCTATTTTTTCAAGTGTGTGCGCACATGTGCACACACACACACACACACACACACACACTACCTTGTAACTAGGTTACATGACCTTGGACAAGCTTATCATAAACCAAAACATTCCTTAGTTTTTTTGATGCAGTTCTTGAACTAGAGCCATTACGTTACAGTCAAAAGTAACTGCAACAGTGCTTGTGATGGGAAACTCAGCACTCATTACAGTGTGCTTATCCTCAGCAGATGTCAGTTTGCTTCTCATTCACTGCTAGGGATTGAAATGAAACCTTTTCTCTCATGGCTAAGATCTAAAATGTTCCTGAAGGTTATGTGCTAAATAGAGTCCTGGACCCCAGCTGGCTGCATTTGGGAAAGTGGTAGGAACAGAAGGAAGTGGAGCTTGGATGGAGAAAGTAGGTCACTGCACACAAGGGCTGGAAGGGTCTACTGGTCCCTGGACCTCTCCTTGCTCTCTGTTCCTGAGCTGTCAGGAGATGAGTAGCTTTGTCTGGCCCACTCTCCAGCCACCATGATGTTCAGCTTCACCTTAAGACTCAAGCACCAGAACTGGACAACCATGGAATAAAAACCTATGAAAATATAAGCCAGAGGAAATCTTTCCTCCTTCAGCTTGATTTTTGAGGGAGTTTGTCACATCAGTGGAAACTGACACAATCTTCTGCTGCCATTGTAACTGGGCCCACCTCCCAACCAGCCCTCGCCCCCTTCAAGGGTGCTTACTTGTCTCTATCCAGGTCTCTCTTCTAATCATCTTTATTTACTACCTAGAACTTCAAGATGGGATTCCACCAACCAAGTCCTTGTCCATAAATATCTTAACATAAATAAATTAGCAATACAATCAATCAAATAACCATTCTCATGAGAGACCTAGACAAAAGCCTTTAAACTCACTGGTAAAGTTACAATGATTTGATGGAACTTTAATTTGTTTGTAAGATGAAAGCCAGTCTACCATTCAGGTTTTTGGTCAAGCATAAAAGGACAGGAATAGAGGACAGGAAGAGACTTTCCTGTCTTCTATGAGCAGCAGAAGCCTCGGAGGTGAGGGCTCTAATACCTTAGGAATTCATCAATAAGCTCATCACAGACTACAGGGACACATGAGTGTCAACTGCCTTCTTCATCTTTGTACAGCCCACTCCCCAGTCAACCTGGCAGGCAGAGGTTTTTCTGACAATAGGTGATGACAGAGGAGCCTAACCTTAACTAAAACAATGTTCCTGTTCACTATCTTAACTCTGGAGTAAGTTCATTCATTCATTTCACAAATGATTATTGAGGAAACATGAAACATGCCTACTACGTGCTAGAGATACCACAGTGGAAAAAAAATAAAGCTTTACAGCCTGAGATCTATATTCTGGTAACATCAACAGGAAACTTTTAAAATGCATATGTTTACCAGATGGTGATAAGTTCTATTTAGAAAAATAAAATTGTACAGGTAAACCAGAGGAAATTGGGATATTCACATGCTATTTCATATGGGAGGGACCAAGGTCTATAATAAAGTGCCTTTTGAACAGAGATGCTCAAGAAGCAAAGGCATGAACTATGTGGATGTTTACAGCTGTTCTGCCTGATTCAAACACAATGATATTAACACATATAATTTTATCCTTCCCAACAGTCTTAATAGACATTAAGATACATGTAACAATAATTTTAGCAGTATTTTTATGTAACTAATCTACCCAAAAAATTTCATATAAATTACTTGGAGTGCTCTCACATTCTACTTTTCATGATAAATATTTAAAATATAGGATAATTATCATACTTAGCACATTTCAACTGATAAGCTCAACAAGTGGACAACACAATGGATTTAGAACGAGTGCTCTATAAAAGCTGACGTCCCTTAAAATGTCAGCACTATGAGAGAGCACATATGTCTTTACATAAAAATACCAGTCAACAGTTTCTGATATGACATGAGCAAAAGAAGGAGGATCGGAGGTCAGGAGACAAAGTAAGTAGGGTTTTCTGACCTTTGTAAAAACTTCCACCTGTTAGCATCAGTGAACGTTGAACCACTTGGATGGTGTCCTTTGCAGCCATGCTGGGCCCCCTTGACTTAATAATCTACTATCATTATCCTAACATTCCCAATTTAAGAGCAAAAGGCTCCAAGCTTTCATTTGTACTGAGACCTATAAATTATACAACTGGTTGAAATAAGAAAGTTCTGATCAGAGAGTGACTTCAATTTGGGGATGTAAAGGAAAATTCTAGTTTCCATGTTAAGAACAAAGTATAGGAACCACAAGGGTAGATGTAAGAAAACATCTAGGGTAATGAGGATACAATCCAGGTGAAAGATGGTGACAAATGACACCACAAGGAGGAGCCAGGTATTCCCGTGCACCTGAACTGCCAGCACCACAGGGCCATGAGTTTCCACAATAGATACCCATGATTCAGAAAGACCTATATAGTTCTAGCACTTTGATTTTCATAGGAGAGAAGGGCTGTGAATCAGTTCTTCTTCTTGCTGGCCTTTTAGAAATAACAACAATGATAAGAAGAAAAATGCTGGGTACCAAAAAGTGTACATAAACAGACAATGAAAATTCTCCAAAGTAAACTATAATGATGTCACAAAATCAAGATCCACAATTAGGAATGAAATAGATGACCACTCAAAGAAGGAAGAAAAGAGGGGCTCTGATGAGGCTGAGCCTCTTATTGGATTACTTTGGTAGAACTGTTTGTAAAGTTTCCCCACTGATTCTAACTAAATAAAAATGGAACATTTACATACGTGACCACACTACTCCCAAAATAGTCCACATGGATTTGGCTACAGCTATGGTCTGGGTGTGATACTCAGCAGATGCATATTAGAAACTAACCACCAGTCTGGTTGTATTATTAGGCGAAGCCTTTAGGAAATTATTGTCAAGAGAGTTGTGACCTTCTATATGGGATTAATATCCTTATAAAAGAGCAAAAGGGTACTGGCTCAGCCTTTACAGCCTTCCAACATCATGCGTGAATAAATCACTTATTCCTGTAGGAGAATGTAGTGATACAGCGGCATCTTGGAAGCAAAAAGAAGCTCTTTATCAGACACCAAACCACATAAACTTTGATCCATGGCTTTTGAGACTCTGGAAGAAACTAAATATCTACTCTTTATGAGTTCCTCAGTCTGTTGTTTGTTTTTATCAGTAAGAATGGATAAAGACAACAAAATGGAATAATCAAAGTTTATGTAATTACAAAGTATATCTGAAATACATCATAAAGACTCACGCCCTAAAAATACTAGTTAACTTTCATAATGAAAAAAAATTAAATTATTACTTTGGACTTTTTATTTTTCGTGTATTTATCTTTCCGTTGCTAGAGACTAAACTCAGACCACGTTAAGCAAATGTTCTCACCACTGAACTGCAACCTTCGCTGTTACCCCCACAAGCTAAGATTTTTTAGATTTGTATATAAATTTGTATAATTCTTCAGTGCTTAAGACTGAAAAAAAAAATTTAAGAATCTCCATTTAGCTCTTGGGTAATCAAATAGAAATTGCAGGGGTCATGCTAAAAAAATGATACAACTATTAGTAAATTAAGTAATAGTAAAAAGTTGATAATTCTAATCTAAATTTTAAAAAAGATGCTTTATCTTCCACAGCCCTGCATCTCTCTGAAATATCCAACATATATATGATGAAAACTGTCACTTTGAAGGGGTTATATCAGCTACTCACTTTCTTCTGAAGAACATTGATTTTCCTTTCCTTTACTTCTAACATGTCTTTCAGATCGCGGATCTCTCCGGCAAGAGTCCCCTTCTCCTCTGCAAGGTCTTGCAGCTGTTTTGTTTTCTTATTGAGGAAAGATTCTTTCTCTTCCAGCCGTAATCTCAGTGCATCTACCTGAAATGAGGACAAAGACGGAAGGTTTTGATTTTACAAAGAGGTTTTCAGTTCCAAATAGTGGTGGCACACCTTTAATCCCAGCACTCTGGAAGCAGAGACAGGCAGATACCTGTGAGTTCGAGGACAGCCTGGTCTACAAAGTGAGTCCAGGACAGCCAGGGCTGCACAGAGGAACTCTGTCTCAGACAAACAAACAACAACAACAAAATTCAAAGAGGTTGTCAATAATCAGTGAATAGGGAGGCAGCAGAGAGCACCTGAGCACAGTGCAACTAGTTCTCTGTTCTAAGACATCTTGGTGGAGGCTAGAGAAATGGCTCAATGGTTATGAACCAGCTGGCTGCTCTTTCAGAGGACCCAGGTCCAATTCTAGTTCCCACATGGTGGCTGACAACCATCTCCAAGTTGTTAACTCTGAAGGATCCAACTTTCTTTTCTGGTGGACATTGGTGGACACTAGATGCACATGGTATGCATGCAAAATATGCATACATATAAAACAAGAATAAACAAATCGTTTTAAGGTCACCTCGGTGCCTTTTAACAGCCTACAATATACCATAATGCCTTGCTGTTCGAATAGCTGGACCGTGATACTTACGTTCTACAGAGTTTTTGTAAAATAAGGCACTGCAAAATAGTAGTATGTTCCCATGGTTGTTTCCCTGCTCACGGGAAACAGTGTGTTTGCTCACGGAGGTGAACAAGGCACTCTAATTCTTCCATGTGAGATCCCTGGGAGGGAAAGCACGGCTCGTGCTTCACAGGATCTTCCAAGAACACAAGGAGCATACGAATGCACAAGATAGTCACACAGAGAAACAGCTAAATTAGAAAAATGCATGGGGCCATGAGGAAGCCATGCTGCCAGGGGACAAAACAGCCATTCTCAAGCTGGATGACGACTGCTTTCCAAACACTTCAAAAAAAAAAAAAAAAAAAAAGGATTTCTCATTTTACCTGAGCTCAAACATCGGAAAATCAAAACTCCTATTTTTTTCAAATGTTATTAGCTAAAGAAAAAAACATAAGCTTTGTGTAATTTTACTTGTGTGTTCATGTGTGGTGTATGTATGTGTTCCTGTGACTGTGTGCACATGTATGTGAAGATCACATGTGTGTTTGAACATGAGGAGTCCACCAGTGACATCTTTAACTGCTCCGCACCCTGGCTTATTTTTTTTTCAGACATGGTATCTTACCAAATCTGCAGCTCACCAACTCAGATATATTGACTGGCCAACCAGCCCGCAGGGATCCTCCTGGCTCTGCCTCCCCATTACTGTGATTATAGACGCATGCTGTCACTTCTGGCTTTTCCCTAGGTACCGGGGTTCTAAATTCGGGTCCTTCGGTTTGCATGGCAAGTATTTACCGACTGAGCCATCTCTCCAGCTCCAAGCCTTATGTGTAATTTAACATTCTGGATACACGGTAAGCTTTATCTCCAGACCTGACTACTCAGATCACATCATAGAAGAAAATCAGCAAAGTATCAAGAATACAAATATCAATGATACAAAGGATATGAAAATCATTTAAAATTAATTTTGTCTTTCCAGATTCTCCTTTATCATTTTACATCACATTCTCATTCGTGTTTACGAATGCATACTAGGCCAGTTTCTAAGAACAACTGTGACACATTAGATGATGGTTTACTGCCATTAATCATTGACTACCTACAAATTTCTAAAAATTTCTTTGCTGAAAAAATGATATCTAACACCTCCCTCCTAAGGTATTTATTTTCTCAACTGGATGTTAAGAAAAGACTAAGAATCTTTGCTAAAACTAGTGTACTGCCATTTGAGCAAACATAAATGATGGCACCTGGATGTTTCTGTCTGTCTTAGATACCGTTCGATTGCTGTGAGGAGATACGACGAACACAACAGGAAATCAACAGTTACCAGCAAGATCAACCACAAGGAGTGAAAATGTTAAAATAACCAGGCAGAAGGGTGATAAGTGATTGTCATGGAAACAAAGGATGCAGCAACAAGCAGAAGACTACTGTGCTCCTATCAGCCTGTGCTGAGGATCTCGCCTTCATATAGCACAGTAGAGATTTAAAAATTAAAAAGTGCAGCCCACTAGAATATCATAATAATGAAAAATAAAAATACCATGAGTATTATGAGGACATAGTGAAGAAGCAACTTGGAACGTTGAAAAGACATGTGTTGGGCCCAGGTATGCTCTTACCTAGCTGTGAAGTTCAGGACAAGTAAGCCTTTCCTTACCCAATCTCTAGCCACAGCTTCTAAACTTTAAAGGCCTGATACTTTGTGGCAATAAAAGTAGGATTTGCCTTGTGTAGACTATACCAGGAAAGGATAATATTAAAGACAAAGAAGACTAGAATCTTCTTTGCTTAGCTCTTTCAAAAATGGGGTGTGTGTGTGTGTGTGTGTGTGTGTGTGTGTGTGTGTGTGTGTGTG